TTATCTGGGTCATGAAGATCTTTTTTGTATAGTTCTTCTGTGTATTCTTGCCACCTCTTCTTAATATCTTCTGCTTCTGTTAGGTCCATTACCATTTTTGTCCTTTATTGTGCCTATCTTTGCATGAAGTGTTCCCTTGGTATCTCTAATTTTCTTGAAGAGATCTCTATGATCACTGAGGAAGGTTTTCTTATCTCTCCTTGCTGTTCTTTGGAACTCTGCATTCAAATGGGTATATCTTTCCTTTTCTCCTTTGCCTTTCACTTCCCTTCTATTCACATTTATTTGTAAGGCCTCCTCAGACAACCATTTTGCATTCCTTTTCCTTGGGGATGGGCTTGCTCCCTGCCTTCTGTACAATATCACGAACCTCCATCCATAGTTCTTCAGGCACTCTTGTCTGTCAGATCTAATCCCTGGAATCCATTTGTCACTTCTAGTGTAAGGGATTCGATTTAGGTCTTACCTGAATGGTCTAGTGGTTTTCCCTACTCTCTTCAGTTTAAGTCTGAATTTGGCAATAAAGAGTTTATGATCTGAGCCATAGTCAGCTCCTGGCAGAACTCTATTGGCCTTTGCCTTGCTTCATTCTGTCCTCCAAGGCCAAATTTGCCTGTTTCTCCAGGTATTTCTTGACTTCCTACTTTTTGCATTCCAGTCTCCTATAATGAAAAGGACAATAGCTAACATTATTGAGTATTGTTGCAGTCACATTATATATGGGGCTCCCCAGGTGGCTCCATATATAATGTGACTGCAGCAATACTCACATTATATATATCAACTCATGAAATTCTTACAACATACTGTGAGGTACACTGTTTTTAACCTCATTTTACAGATGAAGAACCTAAGACTGAGATGTTTACCTGAGGTTCCAGATCTTAGGAGAGGTGGGGTTTGAATCCAGGTAATCTAAATCCAGCAGGGACTTAGAGGGCAGAAGGAGAGGAGGGCATTAGAGGATGAGATGGCTGGATGGCATCACCAATGCAATGGACACGAACTTGGGCACACTTTGGGAGATGGTGAGGGACAGGGAGGCCTGGTGTGCTGCAGTCCATGGGGTCACAAAGAGTCTGTAACACTACTGGGTGACTGAACAACCATAACTGTCTAAATCCATGTTCTTAATCACTGTGCTAAACTGCCTCTTGAGCTTCCCAGGTGGCACTCGTGGTAAAGAACCCATGTGCCAGTGCAGAAGGCACAAGAGATGTGTGTTTGATCCCTGGGTCAGATCCCCTGGAGGAGGGCATGGCAACTCACTCCAGTATTCTTGCCTGGAGAATCCCATGGACAGAGGAGCCTGGTGGGCTATAGTCCATAGGGTTGCACAGAGTCAGACATGACTAAAGGGACTTAGCACTCACGCAAATTGCCTCTTATGAAGAGGATGTTATGCTCCTGTTGGCCGTGCCAGAAAAGAAGGTCGAGGTGTATTTGGTGAGATGACAGCCTTTTGTCACAGCTGACTGTGTGAGTATTGAAAATGGGTCTGTACTAATATTTGCCACATTTCTAGATCCTCGTTCCTTCCATACTTCTGCTCCCTGGACTTAAATTATCAAAATAATTCTAGATTCTCTTTTACTGACCAAGGTTAGATGCAAATAGGCACCAAAATTTACTGTGACTTTTGAAAAAGTTTTATGAGAGCTGATTTCAGCTTAGGTCAGAATTGAGGGATCCCAGACAGTTGTATCCATTTTGGAGAGCTAAGGTACTTTTTGGATGAGCGGACCAGCCTTAGCACCCCGTGTTTATGTCATTGTTCCCATACTTGAGACACTTTGGCCTGGAATATCTCTTTTCATGTTAGATTTGGATTTATGTATACGAACAGGAGTTGAAAATGAACTCTTTTAAGAACACACTTGACATAGAATTGGATTGATATGATAGTAACTATATGATAGTAACTATAGATTGAGAAAAAGAATTTTATAGTTGAAAAAGTCAGTCTTGTGTTGAGTGCATATTATGACACACTACTGTGCTAATTTAGGCATTGCAAAGTTTGAGGATTGGTCCTATTTTGAAGGAAATAAAATCCAACAAAATAATTCTAGATTCTCTTTTACTGACCAAGGTTAGATGCAAATAGGCACCAAAATTTACTGTGACTTTTGAAAAAGTTTTATGAGAGCTGACTTCAGCTTAGGTCAGAATTGAGGAATCCCAGACAGTTGTATCCATTTTGGAGAGCTAAGGTACATTTTGGATGAGCAGACCAGCCTTAGCACCCCGTGTTTATGTCATTGTTCCCATAATTGAGACACTTTGGCCTGGAATATCTCTCTTTTCATGTCAGATTTGGATTTATGTATACGAACAGGAGTTGAAAATGAACTCTTTTAAGAACACACTTGACATAGAATTGGATTGATATGATAGTAACTATAGATTGAGAAAAAGAATTTTATAGTTGAAAAAGTCAGTCTTGTGTTTAGTGCATATTATGACACACTACTGTGCTAATTTAGGCATTGCAAAGTTTGAGGATTGGTCCTATTTTGAAGGAAATAAAATCCATGGCTAAAATACTTTGCTATGAAGAGCTCAACAAATCTTTTGATCCCATATATATAATTAATGTTTATTACTCTAAATTTCCTGAAAGACTTAGAATATATACTAGTAGCATTTTGAGACCGATCTATTTGATCACATCACAGTAAGAAAAACAGGCTACTTGTCTTTTTTTTGTTGTCATGTAGAGACAGCTGATAATGCTCTGGTCTCCTTTATTAAAGGGGAATGCCGTTTTGCACAGGGATGCTATGTATGGTTGGGCAGGTTTTGCATTGTTCAGTCCTCGGGGCAGTCTTACAAGGACTGTGATGTGCGTAGTGCTCTCTTGGGTTATGTGATATATTCTGTAGCACTCTCCTCATGCCCTGATTTTGTGCTCTTCTTCCATCCCAATCTTGATGTGCTTTTCTGAGAATAATTTTTCCTTTAATAAATCCCCTCCACTCCTTTTTACTGCCTTTTTAAATTTTTTCAGACAAAGTCAAGCTGTTGATGAGCCATGCATAGATTTTTCGATTGTTTGGTTATATGTGGCCAGAATTTCAGACACGGGCTTCTTTTCCTTACCTACTACATTAACCACTCTGGAACACTTTGCTTTTATGGAAGACTTTTTGGTTTTAGTATTAGATGAAAACAGAGGCAAAAGAAGTATAACCCATCCCTATACTAGATCTGACTTTAAAATTGAGTGCATTGATTTTGTGTTTATCTGTTGCTTTGACTTGTGTATCATCTCTTCTCAGCTGTCATGAAAATCCTATTTCAGGTGTATTTTTAAAAAGACTGAATATTAGATATTTGTAGCACTTAATACACAGGTTTCTCCCTACTCTCTGAAAGGAGACCATTCTTTACTTCTTATAAGCTGAAATGGCATAAAGTGATGAAGCAGTTATCTTAGGACATACCTTGCTAACAGATGGACAGAACAGAGATAAAGGACAGATGCTCACAGACACAGTTTAGACGTTCACACAGCTTAGAGCTATGGCAGCTTGAGGCTGAGATGCTGAGTGTAGCTCTCCGGGCAGGAGCTTGGTGGTATCACTCACTGCTCACAGTGAGCGCTGTCTCTAACACCCTGCTGCTAAACAAACACTGAAGGCTTTTTTTGTTTTTTTGCCTTTTTTCATGAAAGCAAAAACCCTCGCAGATCTTTTTTGTTTAGCAAAAACAGGTCCTAATGTGGGTCTTTTATACAAGTGCACTGGCATTAAGTAAAACTTAAAAAACCCTGGGGATTCCTGTATTATGTAACAGGTGAAATAGCCAAGTTGATGGCTGTTGTTGCTGAGCAGTCCCAAAGTCACTCACTTTCTCTTTTGACTGTTACCTCTGTCGTCCCTCCCAGACAAGTAGTTGAAGTGGTATGAAAGTGCTCTTCTCTTGGGCAAAGGCCAGATAAAGTTTTCACTGCTAACACCCTTCCTCTTCAATTATGAAGACACTTTGATTGAATGGAGAGGAGTAATTTGTGTGGTCTTCAAATACTAAAAAGGACTGAATAACACAGAATTTTTGAGAAACATTTTTGTGATCAGTCTATTTGGATTTATGTATCAGTAAATGTGTGTGTGTATACACATATTTTCATTCAGCTGACCCTTCAACAACAAGGGGATCAGGGGTGCTGACCGTCCACACAATTGAAAATCCACATAAAACTTTATAGTCAGCCCTTCGTATATCCAATTCCGCATCTGCAGATTGAATCAACTGCAGGTCGAGTAGTTCTGTAGTAGTGTTTATTGAAAAAAATCTGAGTGTAAGTGGATCTGCAGGGTTCAAAACCTTGTTGAAGGGTCCTCTGTGTGTGTGTGTGCATCTATACCCATCTACGTGTCTTACCTAAAACTTTCTCTGAAGTACAAAGAACCAGAGAATTAAAACCATATGTAAAAGATATGAGGGAGAATAGCTCTAATGCTGGCTAAGTGGGAAGACTTGGGTAGTTTTATCAAACATTATTTGTATTCCATTTGTACTTAGTTAATTCTTTAATAATGCTATGTGTAAAGGAGGTTTAATATCTTTTCTGGACTGAGTGATATCTATGTTTCTTTTTCTTATTGCAGACCATTCATCAAGAATTTTGTATCCAAGGCACAGAAGTTTGTTACCGAAGATGATGAATGCTGACATGGATGGTATGTTCTTTGTTTTCCTTTCTTTATGTTTTGTGGCACACACATTGCTTTATTAAGCAATGAAAAGAGCAGAGAAGCAGTACTTAGAAGGAAGGCTTGGATCTTGGCCAGTTGTACTTATTTATAATCCTATCTAGTTCTAGAAAGAATAAGGCAGCTTCCATTCTTTAACTGTGAGATATTGGTAAAACACTTTACTTCACTTTGGTGTCGTCATCTGTGATGTGGGATCCATCCTTTATTTTACAGGGCTCTTGTATAAGTCAAGGAAGATACTAAATGTAAAATATTTTGCAGATTTTTTATGTGCTATACTACACAAATGGTAGTTAATAATAGTAAATTTGAACCTTTTCATTACAGCAGTTGATGCTGAAAATCAGGTGGAACTGGAGGAAAAAACACGACTTATCAATCAAGTGTTGGAACTCCAACACACACTTGAAGGTTAGCTTCCATTTTGTAGTCTTCTTGACTAACACCCAGGTATTGAAATTGTAAGAATTTGTGTTGCTAAATTTTGTTACTCTGCACAGTTTTAAAATGTATAAACTTCAAAGTCTACTTCAATAGTTTGTTTCTCCTGCCTGTATCTTTGACTGGTGATTTTTAAAACACAGATCTCTCTTAATAAGGAAGTCAAGTAGTATTCTTGTGCTTCCCTCTTTAAGGTCTAACATAATAGGAGCACCCCTTTTAAGTCCCTGCATGGTATTATGAAGTCCACTTTAATAAAGTTTAAATGAAAGTAAAAACAGTGTATTAGCCTCAGAGATTATAAGGGAACTTACCTGAGTCTTTTCATTTCTTAATGTCTTGTATAAAGTCACTTGCACCACCAAAATATCTTTTGGTTTTGGATGAATTTACGAGGTGGTGGTTTTTTAAAATCAGGTTGAGCAGATCATGTCACTCCAGGACTTCCCTTCTCACGGGTAATGAAAGCCAGGTCCCTCTCTGGGAGTCTCTTACTTCCCTTTTACCTCTCAGAGTTCTGTCACACACTACTCAATCATCCTGCCTCAGACACTCCAACCTCCTTGCTTCTCCTCAGGGTCTTAGCAGTTGCTGTTTCCCTGTGTTTGACTCAACCCTTAGTCATTTGCATATCTGTGTGACTTGTTCCCTCACTTCCTTTAGGTCTCTGGAGAATTTCCTTAATCAGAATAGCTGTCCTTGGCTGCACTGTAGGACTGCTTCCCTTTGCTTCCTCTGATCCTTATCCTTCTTGCTTTTTCTCCTGAGGCCCCTGAATGCACATGTGCTCACATGCACACTGCAGTGTCCACTGGGCAAGGGCAGGGACCTTTTTGTTACTATTGCCACTAGAAAAGTACTTGTCTACTAGAAGGCACTGAGAACTTAGTTGCTGGGTGACTGGATAGACGTAGTATCTCTTTTCATCCTCAGGGCCTGCTCTTTTGAATTTCTTGCTAATGCAAAAATACAAAATGATGAATTGTTTGGAAACTGACTCCCTATATCCAGTATGTAAATTTAGTTATGTTCACCTACTACATTTTCTTAAACACTTATAGTAAAGAATAATGGTTTTATGATGCTAAGATATGAACCAAATTCACATAACAATATTTTTAAAAAACAGCCATTTTAAGAATTAACTACTTAACAAAAATGCTATTTGCAAAGTATAACATTTAACCTAATGTGATATCTCTTTTTAGGAATACTCAGCTTACTTTGTTTACATAACTTCTAAAGTAGTCTGAATTTAAAAACAGAAAACTCAGGATTGTGGTATTTAAGAGTAAATCTTAATAAGCATTTTGTAATATGAAGTCATTGTCACCACTTTATTGATAATGCACTTTTTAATTTTTGATATAGATCTGTCTGCAAGAGTAGATGCAGTTAAGGAAGAAAATCTGAAGCTAAAATCAGAAAACCAAGTTCTCGGACAATATATAGAAAATCTCATGTCAGCTTCTAGTGTTTTTCAAACAACTGACACAAAAAGCAAAAGAAAATAAGGAATTGATATCTCTTATGTCTTATGGAATTGCTGCTGATCTTTTTTTTCTTTAAAACTTGGATAGATCCCAAAAGTTATAGTACTTTTGTTTGTGGCTTCACTGAGTATTTATGAAGATAATGTCAGATCTAGGAAAAATTAAGAGCATAACAGAAGACTTCCATGAGTTTGTGTATTATGTTAGTCTATGAAAATGTGCAAATGTAGAGACTTTATAATTAGAAATGCATATATTTATGAAACTTGAAAATGAATGTTTTATCAAATTTGTTTTGATCTATAGGGTTAGCATTGTCTTATATTGTAGGCATAGAGATACACGCAAATAACTACCGTGTTGTGAAAAAGTAACCAAAATCACGTACTGAATGCACAGCTTTATGTACCCTGTCTACCATCGTGTGCCTCTTTTCCATTTGCTTTCTTGCTGTTTTTCCTTCCCCTAAGGAAAAAATTGGTTTCACATTTGTAAAAAGTAGTTTCAGTAGCTAATCATCTAGGAGAGTAGCCTGAACTCTTAACTGTTGAAACTTAACCAAAATAAGATACTTTCTCAGTTAGGGCTTATTTATTGTTTAGTAGTAAGGATAGTAGTTTTCTCTTTCATTAATTGAAAATGAAGGCTATAAAAATGAAGATTTTTCTTTGAATTATGGTATGGGGAAGATTTTTTATTAAAAACTTCCTTTGCACAAAATAACCCACTTGGTATCTGAAAAGATGAATTCTGGTTGTGTGTGTGTTTGAAATAGAAATTTTTGAGGAAAAATAGAAATAGGATGGGAAAAGTACTTGGTAAGTACCTGTAACCAACTGCAAATGTTTCTACTCAAGATTATGTTCTCTCTGGCACAGATTGGATTTTGGAAGGAATATTTTTTAAAAAATGGATTAAGTTTGGCTAACCTTATGTAAACCACACCTGGAAGAGAATAGAGTTTGGTCTCAGGTTTATTTGTAGTACCCAGCAGATCAACTTTGTAAAGTCCATTAAGAGTGGATTAGTATCAGAGTCATGAATAAGATGGGAGAATTTTACATGTAAACTAATTGATGATTTCTCAGTATTTTATCTACTTCTCCCAGACATCTCTGCAAACCCAACTACTGGTTTGCAGAATTTTAGTCATTTAACCATTTTTTAAAATTTAGTTGAGTAGGTTCCATTTGGTAAGGAAATCAGTAGTGTTAATTAAAATGTTAAATAGGAAAAGAAATCCACTAATATAGTTTATAGTTATTAAATTTAGGCTAATAATCTTATGTTTGTGTTGGTGTAAGATTTGATGACTTTAGCTGTTTGAATATATAATAGTCATACTGCAAACATTTTGCATCTCTTTGTGATCTAATTTTCAAACATTTAAAATTGTGTTGCAGTTACGCTTTGCTGTTTAATAAAAAGCTGTTTAAAAAAAAAAAAAAAAAA